GTATGCATAACGGGAGGAAAAAACCTCCCCTCTTGATTGCAAGATTTAGCTTACTTTTCAGGTAGCCAACCACATGAAAGAGACTTCATCTTGATCCATTTAGGTTGGTATCACATAATTAGCAGAAGCCTTCATTATCCTTCAAGATTTTTGTACGAGCAGAACAGTATTTGTTATTATCAGAACAAAGAGAGTGTCTCATTTTGCTTACCACACCCTTCTCATGGAATTTTTATATATGAGATTCAACTTTTTTTTTTTTTTAATTTTATAGATTGGATTTGGACATGCCATACCCGATCTGGCTGTGAACTGACCCAAATAACTGAGTGATTATTTAGTGCAATTGACTTTAAAACCAGATAGAATTTGGTGAAATTTAGCCCCGATTCAGCTACCCATGTGGAATGGATTTTCAATTTTAAAAAAAAAATTCGAATATGAATTGTGAAAATCTTTTTCGTCGGAAATAAGATTGAATTTTGATCCATGTTTTCAAAACAAATTCATATTCAAAACAGAGTTCGGTTTGTTGCCAAGTTCGAATCAACATTTGTCCAGTAGTATTGTTAACATTACTAATATAGAAGTTAATGACACAAATGTTTTAAGGCTTGGACTTTAAACCTTATAAGTCTCGTACATAGGATTGACCCCCAATTGATCCAAAAATATTTGTTTGCTATCTGACTCCCCTTTTTCGTGACCCATCTTCCCACCGGTCCTAAAATTTCAAGCCCATGCCCTACAGGCCTAGCGAAAGGGATGCTAAGGCCTCGTTTGGTTCTGCCGCATAGTGTACTGGGCTCTGTCCATTAACCTTGTGGGCTGTCGAGCTTTTGGTCCATCTTGCTTAAAAGTAAGTGAAAATTAGAGTTGTGTTCTCCGAGATGAATTTAAAAAATGAAAATTGAGGGTGTGTCATTCTAGATAAATATATAATGACTTGAGTTCTGAAAGAAAATTTATTTGGAGGTAAGTTCATGTTTAAACTTATATGTAAGTACTTAAGTCCACTTATTTTTTAAATCTCAAAATTTCCCCTAACGGTGTTAGTTTTGTCTCGTTATAAAAGTGATATATGTTAGATCATTGAAATATATATGAAAACTCTTGATTGAGTTTTATATGAAAATCATTTATTAAATATTATGATAATTAAAGAAAATTTTATATAGAAATTATGTATTCTGATGGTTATATTTGGGAAGCTTAATATAAGAATGTATTATTTGCTATTAAGTCAAAATAAGATCACAAAATTTTCTTAACAACAGTAATGCATAATATATGGAGGCTGAACAATCCCAACAGAGTTTAGTAGCACGAATGTTACTATATGACTATAGTTACAATTAGGGTCGAGTTACCAGTACAATCGTATTACGATAATAAATTTTAACATACAATTGCAAACCTTGATACGTATATTATGTAACATACACTTTAATATTCATAGTAACATCAATGCTTTGTACTCAGTAACACATTCAATTTTACAAAATACAAGATAATAGTTTTTTTTATAGTAACATTAACTTTTGAATGATTTTAGTAAAAATATGATCCACAAATTAAAAATTTACAAAATAACGAGTAGTAACACACAATCGACAGTTGAATTACAACACTCAACATCAATTGTGAACATCAATATATCAAAATTTTGAACTCCATTTTCAGTTTCCGTACAGTAACATAAACTTTTTCCACAGTAACACAACCAAGGAATACTTGATTTTATTGTACAACAAAAAAATATCAACAAAATCGAAATCTATACACACTTTAATTTAGTACTAATGTATGAGTTCTCTTGAATCTTGGTTACAAAGTTAATGCACAATTTGACAGAAATAAATCCCTAATTGTTATTATTTTTTTACCATGTTACTATTTTTTTGTGAGCATGTTACTATTTTTTTAATGATTATTTTATTGTTGTTATTTTTTAAATATTAATATTTTGTCGATGAAATCTAAAGTAAACTGGAATAGTAAATTGAAATTATATTTTATGAAATGTAATGAGTTTGAAATTTGAATATGAATGATTTTTGGTAAATGTTGGTTTCTTATTTTTTGGATAAGGAAATATTGTAACTTGGAAGATTATAGCTGGATTTGAAGGCAATTATGAAGGAGATGTATATGCTGGTTATTGTGTCCATAAACGTCGTTTATAACATTCCTACATGGAAGAGTTATAATAGTAAAATTGATAAAAAAAATAGACTTAAAATCAAATACATTTGTTTAAAGTACTTTTCTCCAAATAAGTCTATATAGAGGAACTATCCTCCAAATTTTCTAACTTAAAATGACTTGAGTCCGTTAAGAAAACTTATTTTAGAGTAAGTCCGTTTCTAACCGTATTAGTAAGGAGTTAAGTCCACTTTTTTTTTTTTTAATATCAAAAGTACCCATAATAGTATTAGTTTAGTCAGTTATGAAAAATTGAAGAAATTATCTACAAAAAGCTATATATGGAAGCCAATGATTGAATATAAGAATGCTTGATATACGATAGTAATTGTTGATTACAAGTTTTCTATAATACTTCAAATTCAAATTTTTAGTCATTATTTTTTCTATTATATATTTCAATAATCTGCTTTTGAGACTTGAAGTTAACTTAAAAGTGACAAAGGTTGAAGTTAGAGTACGAGCTCGAGATTTTGAAAAGGTAACATGGGTAGTGCATGTCTTCATAAGACAAGGAGTATTATTGGACTAAAGGTCTGTTGGTATGTACTTTATGTTAGCATAGTAACGTCATAACAACAATTTCAAAACATAATTTACTAAGTTATATCACTATTTTTTCTTATATTACTATTTTTTATTGAGTATGTTATTACCTTTTCAGTGTTATTTTTTTAGATATTAAATAATTAGAGGCTTTTTTCTCTAGTTATGAGTTTGAATGTTACTATTTTTATTTTCAATTTTGTTCAATGTTCTATATTGCTATTTTTTTTGTTGAATATATTATTGTTTTTGTTAAGTATGTTACTATTTCTGTTGAATATATTAATATTATTATTTTTTAAATATTAATATTGAATGTTACTATTTTTTATGTTTAAATGTTACTATTTTTTTGTGTTTAAAAAGTATTATTTTTTGTTTTTAAATGATACCTTTTTTTGTATTCCATATATATGAAGAGATATAGTCATAAATTATATATGAATAAAAAAAAATTTAATGTTAGTTAAATTCCTAAAATTTAAAATTTTTAATTTTTAGTTTTACTTTACTTTTAAATGGAAGAGATAGTCTGGGTAAAATTGACAAAAAATAGACTTCACAACAAATAAATTTCTTTGACAGACTTAAGTCTAAATAAGTTCATATAGGTAACCGGCCTCTAAATTTTCCTTAAAATAACATTATTTTACTGGTTTATAATTGGCTCATGATACTATTCTTATCCACACTTCTTTCTTTGTGTCCTTTTCAAAAGAAAGAGAGAAAAAAGGCAGACATGGGAATTTTTAAGGATTTTTACAGCTCAATTGATTCCATTAAAAAGTACTTTCACAGCCAAAAGCCAGGAGAAAACAGACTCATAGAAAGGCAATAATATTGTATTGGGAAAGCTTTAAGATTTTTCCTTTAAGTGGAATTTACCAAATTTGAGTTTCAACCAGTTGTAAGAGTTGTGACTCGGTAGATTTTTTTTTTAATGGATTTCATTAATAGTAGATTTTTCAATATGATTGTGTTTGAAATATTTTATTTTTGTCAATGTTTGAAAGAAACAAAGCACAAGCTATTCACTTTACTTCATACCAACCATTCACTTGGAATTCATCCACGCTTCGATTGCAGGTTAATCGACGAGAGATGAAGGGTTTTCTTCAACTAAGATGTGACATTGACTTACTAAATAAAAAAAACTATCGAAATAAGAGGTATCTTATGTGTCATAATCTTATTTCCTCAATTGTTTACAATGAGTTTCCTCACACGTAGGAAAATATAATGATATGATGATGAGCTCTCCGTTAATTTCTAGAGATAACAATCCGACTTTGACCCACTTGAACCACTTTAATGCTTAACAAAAAAATATGTTGTATGCATAACGGGAGGAAAAAACCTCCCCTCTTGATTGCAAGATTTAGCTTACTTTTCAGGTAGCCAACCACATGAAAGAGACTTCATCTCGATCCACTTAGGTTGGTATCACATAATTAGCAAAAGCCTACACTATCCTTCAACATTTTTGTGCTAGCAGAACAGTATTTGTTATTATCAGAACAAAGAAAGTGTCTCATTTTGCTTACCACACCCTTCTTATGGAATTTTTATATATGAGATTCAACCTTTTTTTTTTTATTTCACAGATTGGATTTAAAACATGGCATACCCGATCTGGCTGTGATCCAAAATAGGATTGAATTTCGACTATGAATTGTGAAAATCTTATCCATCCGAAATAGGATTGAATTTTGATCCATGTTTTCAAAGCAAATTCAGATTCAAATCAGAGTTGGCTTTATTGCCAAGTTCGAATCAACATTTGTCCAGTAGTATTGTTAACATTACTAAAATAGGAGTTAATGACACAAATGTTTAAGGCTTGGACTTTAAACCTTATAAGTCTCGTATATAGGATTGACCCCCAATTGATCTAAATAAATTTGTTTGCTATCTGACTTCCCTGTTTTGTGACCCATCTACGAGCTTTTGACCTAACCCAGGCGTTTTTTAGAAAAAGATCCCAAAAATTAGAGGGTTTGAAAATAATTCTCAAACACGGGTAATTTTTAAAAACGTCAGATAGACTGACGTTTTTAGCTTAAAGACGTCAGTTGGACTGACGTCTTTAACCTAAAAACATCAGTCCATCAGACGTTTTTAACCCGAAGACTGGCCCTACATTTGTTAAACACGTCAAACGGACTGATGTGTTTAAGAAATCCGAAAATGTATTTCCCTCTTCTTTCTCTTCTGTTATGACATTCTTCCCCCAAATTTGTGTCTGAGCCCTAACATTGGAACCAAACTCCCATCTTCAACCTGCCTAAAATTGGAACCAAACTCCCCTCCCCTCTGCAACCCACCACTTGCAGCAACCAACAGCGACTGCTCACGCCACCAAAACCCTCCAGCAGCTGACCCATTATCAGGCGAACGACGAGGGAGCAGGACCGACCAACTTTGATCACCCTTGACCACGAGCCACCAGCTGCAACCACAAGCGACCACCGTTGAGCACAAGCGACCACCAACGACCACGAGCAACCACCATTGACCACCAACGAGCACCTGCGAACACCATTGACAACCTGCGACCACCATTGACAGCAGGTAAGTGTAGTTCATTTTTTTTATTTGAAATTTAATTTTTATTTTTTTTTGGTAATTATCTGTTAAATAAAAATATTATTTGTTTGTTGTAATTTTGTGTTAAATGAAAATTTTCTTTGATTGTAATTATCTGTTAAAGATTGGTAGACTGGTAGTATTATATTTAGATTGAAACAATTAGTTTTTTTTTTTTATCAAAATTGAAATAATTAGTTAAAATAATCCAATTTATGTTCAAATAGTTAGATTGAAATAAAAATTATATTTACTTTTCTATATAAATAGTTAAGCTACAAAAAGAAGGGCGCATAGAATTTTTTGACGTGAGAAACTTCGTTAACCTAGAGTTATATCTCAGATACAGGTGTCGAATTTAACCCAAAAAATAAAGAGCTACAAAATACATAACACTTTGGTGATAGATAATTCATTAGTTAGCTGCTTAATTTTGATAACAAAATATCAATAGGATTATATTAGCAGAAAAATAGATATGTTCTCTTATTAAAAAAAAAAAATTAAAATAACAGACTCGGTTTGAACTCAAGGCCCTTATATGGATAGTTTTTGACCAAAATTCTAATAACTCATGATTAAAACTGTGTAATTTGCATAGGTCTTTAATTACAATTTAGGTAAAAATGTGGTTAAAAGTTATCTAAATTATTTTTTTGTCCATATTGAGGTATTACGTATAAAGTTTATAATAAAAAATTATCAATAATTTAGACGTTTGCTTGGAGAACTATATATATATATGTTTAATATTTTAAAGACTAAAATGATACAAATGGAATATTAACATCACAAACGAGACAAACCATATATTTTAAGCACCGCCGGTGTAATTAGCTTTTTTTTTTTTCTTTCATCTCATAGACTTTAAGGAGGCCATAATCATTACTGTTGAAACCCATCCTTCACACACCTCCATTTTCTCTGTGTTCCTCTTGTTCCCAACCCATCTCCCAAAATCGAAAGCAATGGCTTTGGTAGAAGTGTTTTTGGGTGCGTTTATAACTGTGTTGTCATTTGTTGGTCAGGCTATTGTGCTTATGTCCACAGATGTTTTTATTTTGCAGTCAATCAATAGCTACTGGATGTGTTTCATGTTGTGAAGTGTAACTAGTCATAAGAGCGGACAAAAACCTTTTCTCAAATATATTTGAAGATTTAATATCTCGTATGCATTTGTTGTGGGTTTTCTTTGGTAGATGACCTTTTTCTCTTTCTCATGTTGGGTTTTATCTGATTAATGAATGACTTAATTACAATTAATTACAAATAATTAGGTTGGCGAATTATGTTAACAAAGGTTCAAATAATATTATTGCATATATAAACCTCATTTGCTATATGTAAAGAGGCATTTCTCTATGTCATTTAGTTCAACTATGTCATCATTAATGGAAGTGTTAGATATTAACAAACTCAGTGGTGTTGGACAAATACGGGTCTATATCAATATGATTAATATTTCTCTTTTATTTTCTAATGGTTAGATCACTTGATCATATGGTATTATTAACTCATATAGACCCGTATTGTATCGTCTATATAACAACTCATATTGTAACTCATAGGATCACAATAGGAACTCATTTTGTATCGTCTGCACTCCTATCATAATTGAAGTTCCAGTCTAAGGCATGACTATTCTTTTCATTTTGTATCGTCTGCACTCCTATCAAAATCGCTTACATTGTTTGGCTTCTTCATAACTTGTTACGAGATACCCACTTTTGGGGAATATTTTTTCAAACTTCCATATAAATGTTGTATTTCTATATATCTTAGTATCATATAAGTACACTTCATCCTTGTAGGTTTCTTAATTGATAAACTATTGTAGGTCGCATGCGTTAGATTGACATGAGACTTTGATTATGTTTTGATCTATTATTCTTCAATTATTAATCGTTTCTATCTATTCTCAGGTTTTTCTGAATTCAGAACTTTTTCCAAAATCATAAGTAAATAAAATGGCGGGAAAACAAGTTACTGTTTTGCTATATTGGGGTGGAAAAATGGAATATGGATCGCAGGATTTATCTTACAGTTGTCCGCCCAAAGGTGAAATTGTTATCAATAGTGGTACACACCTGCCGGAGTTGTTGAGTAAAATTTACACTGTAATGGGGTTGGACAGAGTGCATTACAAGTTAAAGTTGACTTGTAGATATCCTTTTACACTTGGAACAGGACCAAATATGAATACATATGTCGGTCTGGAAATGTCAATGATGAACTAGTGAAAGCTGTGGTGAATGTTGTACTTGACAACTCCAGCATTGCTAGTGTTGCTTTGTACGTGGAGACGGAGGACATCAATGCCGGCATAGGCAGTAGTCAGACCGTAGGGTGTATAACAACAACTCCTATGTCTTACACTGAGTTGCTTAGACGAGAGATGGGTACCTTGACATTTTCAATTGCCAGTGTGACGGGTGAATGCTCAACTCCCGTGGGCAGTATGGTAATGGATGAGTCTGGGCAATACTTTCACACCCAACAAAAAACTGAAACCGCAACATACGGTGGATACTTGGCCAACAATTCACTGAGTCAAAATTATCAAATTGGTGATGCTAGAATTGAGTTAGGTGAACAAGATGATGTCCATCAACCAAGTACTCAACAAAGCCCAATCCGGGAATATGAAGAAATGTATGCTAATGATCGTACAGATGTGTCTGATGATGACGACGAAGAAGAAGAGTTTGAGGAATTGATGATTGATGAAGCGGATGATGAAGATGGGAATGACGAAGACTTTGAGGTTGATCAGGTGGTGGAGATGCATAAACCTTACTCTACCTCATTCACAACCATTCCATTTGGTCAGTATACTGAAGCAGATAGCCTAGTTCCATCTTCTGAATTGAATTTGTGGGATCCGGTTAAGATGGAGTTGGCGAAGGGCATGGTTTTTCAAGATAAAGCTGCATTGGTTAGGGTTGTTAAATGGTATTCCATCAAGCTAAATTAGGATTTCTTCGTGGTTGAGACGAAAGCAACAATGTGGGCAGTACAATGCATCATGTACATGCAGCCTACCTGCACGTGGAGACTACGCGCTTGTTTTAAGAAAAAATTGAAAATATTTCAGATCACAAAATATGATGGACCACATACCTGCTTCTACCCTAGAATGACTCGTGACCATCGACAGTTAGACTCTGACTTCATCTGTCATAATATACTAGAACTCGTGGATGATACACCATAAACCAAAATGTTGACAATTCAGAAAAATATAAAGGAGAAGTTTAAGTATGATATTTCATATAAGAAAGCATGGATTGCGAGGAACAAAGCTATTGCTAAGATTTTTGGTGATTGAGTCTTTTCATATCACGTTGCCAAAGTTTTTGGGTGCCATCAAGAAGTATAACCCTGGGTTGATTGTGAAGTGGCGATACAACTTTGAATCTCCTGAATATAATGTTTTTTTACGCGTATTTTGGGCATTCAAGGCCAGCATTAAAGGGTTTAAATATTGTCGACCTGTTATCAGTATTGATGGGACTTTTTTGCGTGGAAAGTACAAGGGAAAGCTTTTAGTGGCGACTGCTTTTGATTCTAATAAGCAGTTGTTCTCCATTGCATTTGCTATTGTGGAAGAGGAGAATACGTCAAGTTGGGCTTTTTTCCTATATTACCTTCAGCGGATAGTTCTTACACATCGGGAAGGTATATGTTTAATTTCTGATAGGCACAAGGGGATCCTTTCTACTGTGAACAAGGAAGATTCTAGGTGGCATCCACCACATGCTTATCATTGATTTTGCCTTCGGCATGTTCATAGTAATTTTAATACGGAGTTTATGGATGCGCATTTGTATGATCTTATGTGGCGGGCTGGAAAGGTAAGACAAGTTCGCAAGTTTGATGACTTGATGACTCAGATACGGAACGTCAAAGAGAGAGCATATACGTACTTAACTGATATACCATTGGAGAAGTGGACATTGACCCATGATGATGGCCGACAATATGGTATCATGACAACTAACATTTCACAGGTTTTTAATAGTGTTCTCAAAGGTGCTAGGTATTTGCCCATAACTGCGTGTGCGTAGTCGATATTTTATCGAGTTACTAAGTATCATTTTGAACATCGAGAAAATGTGGAAAAATGGAAAGAAAAAGGGATGGAGTTTCCTAAGCGGGTTTTGGAACGATTACAGCATGCACAACAAATGAGTCGTGTCCACGACGTGACGCCATTTCATAGGGAACGTGGTCTTACTGAAGTGTCAACTGGTGGTGGTCATAAGCAAGTTGTGTGTCTAGAAGATCGTTTATGCACTTGTGAAAAATGGGCAATTTACAGAATTCCTTGCTCTCATGTATTGGTCGTATGCGCTTATTATCAATTACATTTTCAGTCATTCATAGATCCTATATACAATATGGACACTTTGGAGAAAATTTGGGCCCTGAGATGTTTCCTCTAGAGGATGAACATTACTGGGAAGATCACCTACGTTCCAAATTAGTCCCTAATCGTAACCAACATCGAGACTTGATTGGTCAGCCACGGACGATGCGTATAAGGAATGAGATGGACTTTCCACCAGAGGGTCGTAATCAGATACATTGTGGGCTATGCGGGGAACTGGGTCACAATCGTCGAAAGTGTACATCCATAAATACACAGGCTCCAACATCCCTTTAGTAGATTGTATTTTAAGATGTGCTTATGTTGTAATATTATGTTGGTACAATGTCTTGGTTTTACATGTTTGTTGAAATAATTTGTTTGAGGTTTGATAGTGGATTTGTTCATCGTATTTTCAATTGTATTTTGTATTTTGCGAGCTTCATAAGTTGTTGTATGTTATAATCATTTGTATATTGGACCTTATGGTGTGTTTATGTTGTAATATTATGTTGATACAATGTCTTGTTTTAACAGGTTTGTTGAAATATAAATGTTTAATGGTGGATGTTGTTTTTTTACAGATTCCTATAG